TAAACTTTCCTTTCTTTAGAAGAAGCTGATGTATTATATAATACATCAGTTATTATGGACCAGGTTATATCCTAGAAAATAGTAACAGGACATGAGGGAAGAGGATCGGGCTTTAAAACTGAGGAATTTTGACATGGTTTGCCCAATTAACTGCTTCTATAAGGCCCTACAGCAGGCACAGTTAATAATAAAGATTACTAAGGGAATCTTAGGGAAATGTCATCTGTGCCTTTTGAAAACATGTAATAGAATGAATAGAGCTGGTGGTGAAGTGCAAACAGTGGCCTAAGCATATGAGGACTTGCTCAGTGTGGGAACTACTGCACACACCAGGAGAGAAGCATAATTATGACCTACAGCTTGCCTTCTACAGTCTAAGTATTGTGGAGTTCAGGAAATGCTAAGCACAGCAGGCCTGCAACAGTGAGACAGCAAAGGACAGCTAACTGCTGGTGGTTAGTGATGGAGAGCTGGGATTGGTGCGTGTGACGTAATCTACTTCCTCCTCTGATGTAGCAGAATGGTTAAGGTTTTCAAGTAAAGACAGTCTTAATGACTATTATAGGCCGGTGGGAATGGTTCTTAGCTTTTGTGTACTCTAGGATTCCCCTTAGCTTAGCAGTGAACTTTCTGAGAGTGATATATATATATATATATGTGTATACACACACACACACACACACACACACACATTTTAAATAATTTATTTGAGACAGGGTTTCTTTCTTTTGTTTTTTTTTAAAGATTTTATTATGTATATAACATTCTGCTTCCATGTATATCTGCACACCAGAAGAAGGGACCAGATCTCATAACAGATGGCTGTGAGCCACCATGTGGTTGCTGGGAATTGAACTCAGGACCTCTGGAAGAGCAGTCAGCGCTCTTAACCTCTGAGCCATCTCTCCAGCCCAGCTTTTTATTTTAAAAGCAAAAACAAAAGCCAAGCCTGGAGGTGAATAAATCAGTTGGTCTAATTTTTCCCTACCATATTAACACATGATTTGAAAGGTTCCTTTGTGATTTTTCTGTGTTTCAGATTATTCTGTGGTCAGAAATATTAGTATACTAATTTTAAAGAAGTAGTCTGTGTTTGGGGGAGCAAGTTGTGCTAGACTTAAGATATAGGATGTAGATGTCCTGGTATCTGAACAATATCCCTATCAAACTTCCTGAGAGATGTTCCCTGCAAACCCCAAGAGTCTGGCTTACTCCCTTAGTTCCTATATTCTTGGTTAAAGAATTAGGCAGTTTTGTTTCAGGAATAAACAAATGGTAGAAATAATTTAAGTGAAAAAAATGTTAAAGTAGTATTCCTGGGAAGAAAACGTCTTCGTGTTAAGCTGAGGAGGACCCAAGCACTCCTTAAGTGTTTCTCTCCTTGCTGCCTATTTCTCTCACATCTCTGAGCTGAAACCCTGCCACTAAGAAGAATCTACTTTTTTAAAAATTGACATACTTAAGGCATTTTCTGAATGTTTTATTTGTTCATTTTTATTCTCCAAAATAAAATGTTCGTACTTGGTGAACACGTCCTCATAGGACAGTGGTTCTCAACCTGTGGGTCTTAACCTTTTGGGGGGTTAAATGACACTTTCACAGGGGTTGTCTAAGATCATCAGAGAACACAGACATTTATATGATTCATAACAGTAGCAAAGTTACAGTAGTGAAGTAGCAGTGAAAATAATTTTATGGTTGGATATCATCACAGCATGAGATATTGTATTAAAGGGCACAGCATTAGGAAGGATGAGAACTGAGGCTCTAGGAAGACATTCCTCCGCCTCATGCAGAGCTGGTTACTCGTGACTCTTCAGCAGGAAAATGTTGTCAGTCTGCGGTTTGTGAGGCTTTTATAGACTATGTGAGTGTCAGCAGATAGGTCTATGGAGGATTCTGTCCCTTTGTAGTCCTGGATTAGGAATTCCAAAACAAAACCAGTAATTAATTCTGGTGCCTTTGAACTTTGTGTATCACCAGTGCAGTGATTTAAAGACAAAATCAGCAGGGCACAGTGACATCTACCTCTGTTCCAATACTCAAGAGTCTGAGGCTGGAAGAAAGAGTTCAAGGACAGCCTGGGCTGCCAAGTGGGGCTCTGAAATAGCAAAAACAAAGGAACACCAAAAAAACCATGTATACATTCCAACAAGCTAACTAAATTATTGATTGAAAGAGCCCAGTGTAGTTTTCCTCACTAAGATGTCCTTAGTTTGAAAGGTTTTGAAAGAGTTGGGTTTTCTATTAGCCCAGGAAATACCTATGTTTTTTTGCCCTAGAATCTTCCTGTGAAAATTGTGTAAAGTTTTACAATAGGGTTAGGTGAGTTAGATGTGCACAAGCCATTGAATGTTGTAGTCTCATGTAGTGCAGCCCTACAGGCAGGAAGGAGCTTGCTCTGCTTTTAGGATGGGGTGAGCTGTTAATACATACTGAGTTAAATATAAACCTCTATTTTAAGGTGAAGCCTCTTGGTGTCATTTGGGGAAAGTTTTCTGAATTCTACAGCAAAAAAAACACCATTATGTTTGATGACATAGGAAGAAATTTTCTAATGAATCCCCAGAATGGACTGAAGGTAAGACAGACAATTTTACTTACTTAGGCTTATGTAACCTAGTGTGTAGTGTCATGAAGTTTTAGATGATCTTTCAGTTAAAGATGGATAAACAGTGAGTGTTAGTATGGGCCCTGTTAACAGTACAGAAAATCTCCTATTGCCTAGTATGTTTATTGTGCCCTGTCTTTGTATAGATACTTAATCAAGTATTATAATTGTCTATGGTATTTAGTATAGTAACATGCTGTGGTTTTGTGGCCTGGGAACACTAGACTTTACCGTTGGGCTTAGGTGTACAGTAAGTTAAAGAGTATATTCTGTAATATCCAAACAATGGTGAAATCCATTTCATGTATATCAGGAAAGGAAATGTTAAGTGATGCATGACTGAATACACATGTATACATACACACACGCCACCCCACACTCAGTTTATCAATTGTTTTTATTTTGTGTGTATGACTGTTTGCCAGATGTATGTATGTTTGTCACTTGTGTATCTGGTACCCACAGATTCCAGAAGAGAGTGTCAGATCACTGAACTGGAGTTACAGATGGTTGTGAGCAACCTTTTGGGTGTTGGAAACCAAACATGGGTTCTCTGCAAGAATGACTAGTGGTCTTTACTGAGCCATCTGTCTAGCCCCCTGTGCTTATATTTTTATGGTCACAAGCAAGAGGAGTTTCAAGTATTTGGGGAAGTTCAAGTGAAAATGAATGTTGCTTTTTGCATTGTCACCTTAGTTAGCCAGCCCACTTGATTATTTAGTTTTAGCTGGCTCTGGTAGCAACCTGAACTTGCTAACACTGCATTGTAACAGAAATCTGGTGTTTTGTTAAGAGTTGCTGATGTTCTGGCCAGCTGGCTGTAGTAGTACTTTTTCTTTATTTCTTTTTTGTTTTTTCTTTTAAACTGAAGCTAATAAGGGCTTTGCAATTCTTATAATTCAAGTGCAGATCTTAGAGTTATCAGGCACATGTGATAGAAGGAGCCACATATGTCATCTATGCTTTCTTAATCCTGGGATGAAAAGTCAAGACTTGCTCAAAATTGTGTATGTAATGGGTGTTTGACAGAATTTGGACAGAGTCTGTGTGACTTAGTTACTGAGTCAGTGATAATCTTAGCATGAGTCATGTGAAATCTGTGTAGCAGCTACAGAGGCATTTCATCCTGGCAGCAGAGAACAGTGAAGCTTGAATGCTTTTGGTCCCTGTGGCTGCTAGCACATCTATGCAGTATGAACACAGAGGTGTTCTGTGACAGAAGTGAGGATTCTCCAGGTGAAGTGGAAATCCTGTTGCTAAGAGGTTTATTTCTCTGTCTTGAACTTCTCAGCCAGCTAGGTCTTGATAAAGACAAGGAATGGGAACTTGTAGAAAGTAGGCCCTTGGAGCTTTATAAAGTTTTGAGTTGAGTTGGTTTTAGTGTGTAGTGAATGTAGCGCAAATGTCAGAATGGTGATACAAGGCCAGATTTTAGCACAGATTTAGCCTGTTGCCTTGGAAGAGAAGTGAGTGTGTTCACTCTGTCACCCAACTTCTGTCTTTTAATATTCTGAAACAAATCCTAAACATGTATTTCATTTACAATTTTAATTAGTTTTAAAATGTTAAAGGCTATCTTGAGCTGTATAAACATACCTGAGTTGATCTTAAGAAAAGACAAAGCTGTTAGGGAAGTAATTCAGAGGTGTAAAGAAATTATTGGTTGAACATACTGTAAAAATAACTCATAATTCATTCTCTCAGTGCGTAAGTCAAGATTCAGTCTCACTTCTGTTGTCCTGACTTTTATAGTTTGAAGTAATGCTTTTTAAGTGAAGTATTAATATTAAAAAATATATCAACCTTACCATGTGGGAGAACTTCACTGACTTTTTATGGAAACTGATCTTTATACATAAATGACAAAGTGAAATGTTTATGGCAAAATGTGGCAGAAAACTGGCATTAATGTGTGATAATCTCAACTGTCTGGAGTACATAATGGGGATTGCACCATGTCAGTGCACATGTGGAGGGAAAGAACTGGCTCCTGAAAGTGTTTCCTGCCTTCTGCATGTGCACATGGCACACACAGGCAAACAGCAAACAAAGCAACAAGTGTGAACAGCTCATAGAGGAGTGCTGAAGTAGAGATAACCCCACTGTGCTCAGGTCAAGCTCATATTTGGGCTGACTCCATGTAGAGTAGACAGTGTAAATGAAATCAGTTAATGGAAATCATTAAGATGCCAGGAGGAAATAAAATGTGAGCACACTGCAAAATAGGAGTGACCATGCAGATTCCAGTGCTGGAGGAGGCTGTGGTGTCTGGTGTAGGCTAAAGGAAGAATAGGTGGAAGAGCTTAAACTTAGGTGTTATGAAAGTCATTTGTGTTGGTATTTTAGCCTCAGTACCTGACTGAAATGATAAGAGGAGTCCAAGGTTTTTGTTAACTTTGCTGCCACAAGGTGAGGTTTGTTTGTTTTTTGACAGATAAGGCCTTTCATGAAAGCACATCTGAATCGAGATAAAGACAAAGAGCTCGTGAAACTCACTCAGTATCTCAAGGAGATAGCCAAGCTTGATGACTTCCTGGAGCTGAATCATAAGTACTGGGAAAGGTAAGTGCTAACCATCATTTGTCTCTTTACACCAGTAGTGAAAACATGTTGGCAAAATGCCACACTGTGCCCTTAATTTTTTTGTTTGTTTCATTTTTGTATTCACGACAGGGTTTCTCTTTTTCCCTGGCTGTCCTGAAACTTGCTTTGTAGACCAGGGTGGTCTCGAACTCACAGAGATCCTGCCTCTGCTGCTTAGTGCTAAGATTAAAGTCTTTACCACCACTGCCCAGCCATGCTCCTTAACGTTTTTTTTTGTTTGTTTGTTTGTTTGTTTGTTTGTTTTTTGGGTTTTTTTTTTTTTTTTTTTTTTTTTGGGTTTTTTTTTTTTTTTTTTTTTTTTCTGGTTTTTCGAGACAGGATTTCTTTGTGGCTTTTGGAGGCTGTCCTGGAACTAGCTCTTGTAGACCAGGCTAGTCTCGAACTCACAGAGATCCCCCTGCCTCTGCCTCCCAAGTGCTGGGATTAAAGGCATGTGCCATCAATGCCTGGCTCCCCTTAACGTTTTATATAAAGTGGGAAACTTCTAAAAATATTTTTTTCCTACCGGCTTCTCCTCAAAAGTATTTCTTCTAACCCCTAACTTACTCATAAACCCACATTCCTTCAGGTCTTTAATATTGCAGTAGTGGGAACTTGAGAGGCTGTTGAGTGGCTTTGTAATAGTAAGCAGGCCACCCTCTGAATTCCCTGCTCCTCCCACCATGGTTCTTTAAGTGAAAATCTCTGTGTAGCCTGTGCTGACTTCAAATGCTTGGTCCTCCTGCCTCAGCTTTCCAGCAGCTGGGCATACAAACCACATGGGACTAACAAGGAGTTGACCACTATTAACCATGCTGTAAGTTATGTCAGCATGACATTGTTTAACATTGCTAGGAACTTCAGTGTATAGTAGCAGAAAGAGAAAACAAAATGGTTTCACATGACTTTTTTCTAAAGACTACTGCATTGCTGTAGTCTTTTAGTCTCTTTTTCTAAGCACAGCCATGGAAAAGTCCAATACAATTGCATTCAACATCAAGATGAACAGCCAGGAAACCTGGAGAGATGGGAGGGGTATGTGTCCTACAAGTAAGGCTGCCTTGAAATCAGACCTATAAAGATCTGGTCCTGGTGTAAACATCAAAAATCCCTGATGGGTGCTTTCCTTTTTCAAATCCCACTTTTGGCTTTTTATATTACTTTGGCATATAGCTAATGATGGTAGTTTCTAAGTGTGAGAAAGGATTGGAAATTTTAATTTAGCAGTGGATCCTATTAAATAATACTAGCAAATGGTTGATGACTTGGTAAAACAACTTTATAGTCTTTTCTTTTTGTAGTGCTGGGCATTGAATCTAGGGGCCAGATGCTATGCAGCCACTGTATCTCTGAGCTACATCTCGAGCTTTCTCCTTGACACTCTTGAGTACAGTCCTATTTTACAAACATATTATGTGTGTGTATCTGTATGTACATCCTGCTCCCTTTAGTATCTTTTATTCCACTATTTTTATGCAGGAAAAAATAAGATCTTTAGATGAAGTCTAATTAGAAATCACAATATTATTTAACATTGGAAAAGGCAGTATGACGTGGTAACTAATGTTTGCAACTTCTGGAGGCTAATTGTGAATCTGAGCAGCCTGGCTTGGCAAATTGCTTCACCTTTGAACCTGAGAAATAGGAAGAAGTTGTAGCAGAAACCACATCTGCAGCTGCTATGACATGTAAGCACATGTCAACACATGTGATTATAACAACAGTTGGCACAGAGCACTCAGCAATTTTTAGTAGCTACTAACCGTACTGATCTTTAAAGGCCCATTATTGAAATAAGTCCTCTGGCTGGAGAGGTAGATTGTTTTCATGACTTTGCCTGATCTAGCTTTGATGTGTTTATCCCATTTCTTGCAGGTATCTATCAAAGAAGCAAGGACAGTAGTTACCAGTTACACTCACAGTTGAAGATCCTTGAGATCTGTGGACCTTGGTTTCTTTGCTAGGCATTACCATGATTGTGCTGGACACTGGAGCAGATGCCAGGCTGCCTAGCTGTGGTCTTCCAATGCTTTGTAAATTTAATTTTGTATTTTTTTGAAGATAATAACAAAGTGCTAAACAAAAAGTTCTCTTCCCTCCATGTTAATTTACTCTTGAAGAAAATGTTCTCTGGCATTGATTATTGAGGTGTTTTTCCAAACCCTCTGAAAAATGGAAAACAAAACAAAATCAAAGGTGGAGAAAAATATATTCACCAGTGTCATCCTGTGACTTTGAAACAAGTTTTGTCTTATGCTTTTGTCTCCTTGTATAATCAGCTGCCTAAGTCTGAGACCAAACCTATCTTGAAAGTAGCTCGTGCTTTCCCTCTTAAAACCAAAAGCAAAACCAAAAAGCCCAAATAAGCTTTGAAATAATAACAAGTTCATTGTGCTGAAAACTCCCTAGAGTTTTCTTCTTGTCACAGAGTTCTTTTCTGCAATCTACCAGGAAGATCTCGAAGCCGGAGTTGTCAGTGTTCTTTAAGAATGGAGGACATCTGCATGAGAAGGCTATGCCCTAGGTGGCATGGCAGCAAGCAGACTGGAATAACACTACAGGACAAGAGTATGCTTCTTTTTGGTGGCTAAGTAGAAGCACTTCTGCCTAAAACCATAGTAATGAAGCACAGCTTATGCAGTAGTGAAAAGGCTCATTCACCAACTCTACTCTCCAAAGCATGGATAGCATTTCTGCCTACTCCAGCTGTGTGTCATTGCTAACTACTAACACTATTGCAGCAAACATAGCTAGCCATAAGATTAAAAATAACTGTTACTTGCAATGCTTAAGCCTGCAGATATGTAATGTGACCACTGTTTTGTGTTGACAGTATTGCTTTATACAGTTCTTGTATTTGA